AATGGGATGGGTGTTTTTACAGCGATCTATTATTTGAAGTAATGGGAATATTGGAAAAATACTGCTGCAAAGTCTAGACAGAATTATAATAACTTTGTCTGAACTGTGTGTGTACCTCCTTCRCGTTCATTTCCAAGGAATGTGAGGACCTCTGAGTGTATTGCATAAGCCTTCACTGAAGCAGTAGGAAGTAATCTCCTTCCAAGTCCAGGAGGGCCAAARTCTAACCCATGACTGGTTGCTGCAGCTCCTGCCAGGGCTGATGCAGCTGAGCCTCCTCTTCGCTGGGGGCAGGTGGCTGGGGCAATGAGAGGAATGCATCTTGAGCACATTTGGGGGTGACAGCCAGCTGGGAAGGACTGGGGGACACTGCGGAGCTGGGCTGTGCAGGGGTGACTGGATAGACAGAGGAATGGTTTATTGTATTATTGTGCTTTCTGTATTTATTAAACAAATAAACACCTCCTACCATTAGGAGTTCATTTTGTTCCCTCTCTGACTGGAAAATGAAACCTAAAAACATTATTTAAGGGACCAGTGGCCATGTAGCAACAGTATACAACTCTCAAGTTCCAGTTACTGCTTGAAAAATKACATAATACCATTAGAAATATTTTAGCCCTATGTTTGAACAACAAGGAGGAAATTACATCCTGTTGAAATACATTTAGGGAGAGAAATTGTTCATTGTAAATGATTTGCTTGATTCTGCATAAGGTTTTATGCCCATGYGGAATTTGGGATCATAGGGTGTGAGGAAACTAATATGTTCATCTAAGAACAGTTTCTGTTACTGGCAAAAGCCTGTGTGAGTGGGAGGAAATTGGCACAGGGAGAGCACTTCAAGAAAAAAATGTTGATAGCAGAGTTATAAACTCACTCTTGTCCACYGATGTTGCACTGTACAATCCCCCTAATTCCTGTGACATAGCGTGAATGAAATGCCCAGTACTGGGTTACTCTGGCTCGCAGAAGAACCATACCATGCACTAGAGAATGAAGAAATCAAGAATAGGTGTATCCAACTTCCCAACCTCCATTCTTCTGTGCATTATTGACTATAGGTATAATAGGGAAATATTTCTCACCTTCCTCAGACTACTTTAAAGAAACTCKTTCATTGTATGGGTGCAACCCTGTGCTTGTATGCTCTTTTTTTTAATTGTAGAATAGATTTATGTGGATTTCAGTGCTAAAACAATACTGGTCTGTTCTGAAACACTAATATTGGCCCATAGTGAGTCTTTGATGAATTAAAAGGTGAATTGATTTTCAGCATCAAGATGTTTGGAATATGATCATTCAGAAGATGAAACATGCTGTGGTCCTGGTAAAAAGTGTCACATTTTTCTGTGCATCCTCAAGGGTGGTGGGTTGATTTTGGAGGAGGTGTTCTCCAGATCTGCTGGATACTCTGAACACCAGTCTTTGTGTGATTTAAGATTTTGCCCATGTTGAGCTGAAGCGTGCTAWGCTAATTGATTTATCTTCCGTGAGCAGTTACTTCCCAGGTGAACCTGTATGGGTTATACTTGTAAATTGGAGTGTAATTCTTTCTTACCAGTCAGCAAATTTTGGTAAATAACATGACTTTTCAAAAAGGAAGTCAAGGTCAGAGACATGTGGGGTTTGGGGTTTGCTTCTTTTCCTCCTGGCAGGCTGTTCAGCATGCTGCAGCTGACTTTCAGTGTTGCKGTGATGTCCACCTGGACCTGGAGGTGGGTCATCCACCTGCTCCTGCCGACAGAGCAATTCCCAAGCAGGACTGCTATGCTTAGCCACTCTCTGTTGGTGAGTCTGCTAACCATGATCTGCCTTATGTTTATACGTGGCTTCTAAGTCATTTGGCCATTAAGCAAATTACTAGTGAGCTCACAATAATTTATGCAAGCTGCATAATATCATAATATTTCTCATGTACCCGGTGTAATTCACCTTTTTTTWAAAARAATAATATTAMATTTTCCAATGAGGAAAATTATTTTATATATCAGCTGAAGTTGGCAGTGTAGAATTACTGCGCACAAGTTACAGTGTTTTGAAGAAATCCAGGAATTCTTGGCTTTCTTTCAAAGAAATATTTCTTTGGCCATTTCTTGCCAAGAGTAAGATGACAATGGGTTTTTCTTCTTCCCAATTACACCTCTGCTCTGAGTTCCACAAAGGCTTCACCCTGCCCAGGAAGAGGATTCTCCAACAGTTCTTTTTTATTTGGGAACAAATTGTTTAGCAAAACGTTTCTGCTGTCTGCCCTCATGAGTGAGGGGGAAGTGCATTTTTTTTTTTTTCCTGTTAAACWGATCTGATTTTGAATTTTGGAGATGAACTTGTGTTTCTGCTGATTTTCCACTAGAGACCTCCATCAGCCCAAATTACCAGTTGTTTTGTAATTATGATTACTGGGCGTTGCTTGAACAGCTGAGGAGGACATGGTCTTGCCAGATGGCCTCAGGGAAAAGGCGGAGTCCCAGGTCAAAGGAAAATGTTTCTGTGAACACTTTTTTTTTTTTTCTCAGRGAAACTGAGGTTTATCCAAGCAGGTGTGTTGTGAGAACCTGAAGAGGAAGGCATTTTTATGCCTTGAAGCAATTGCACAGAGATGGCAAGAATGATATAACCTAAAGTCTGTCTACCATTTTCATAATGGGCCTATGGAGAACTTGAAAGAGGCTTCCTCCTTCTGAAAAAAAACAGCCCCTGTACATGCAGCCATCTTACACTGATGAGCTTAAGTGCAAACATGCTCAATTCCTGTAAACTGAAGAATCTGGAAATAAGATTCCCAGTTTACAAGAGCTGCAGCAATAACAGGAGGAGGCTGGCTTCCAGCAGCTGAGGTCAGAGCAGGAGAAGCCTGGACTTCTTGGATTGTTTTGCTGGACTTCTTGTTTGACTTCAGGGCCAAAGTYACTGCTTCCTCTGATGAATAAAACCAGCCAAACCTGCAAGAGCAGTCGTGGCTCAGTAAGAATTCTGGTTCAGGTTTTTGCAAGTGATTTATCCTCTGAGTTTAAGCTCTTGGTTTCTCGGGTACACGCTTGAACAGTTAGAACAGCTTTGTGCCTTTATTTTGGCGTGAATCTCATCCGCTCTATTATCAACACCAACACTTCCTGCGATTGTAATTACTTTTGTGACATTCTCAACAACACTAGAACTACCTCTAAATGTGTGATAATGAAACAAAACAGCAATTATCTTTAACAATCCTTAATTCTCTTGAGTGAAAGTAACTAAGAAGCCAAAAGCACCTAAAATACACTAAAATAAAACTATAAAGTTGTTAATGCTTCACTTCTATAGTAGTTTGAGTCTCAGTTTCTATCCTTGCAACTGTGGTTGCTGCTTACTTGAAACCATTGTATATTTTTTCTCCTAGGAGGACAAAATGTGGTAAAATCAGCAAACTGCAGCTAAACGTACTGATTTTGTTCAGTAAGATCCTGGACAATAAATGCTCCTCTTGTTGCAGGTGGACCTTATTACAAAATGAATATTTGAGCTATTTTACTTGGCTTTCTATTTCATATAGCTTTTTCTGATAATGTTCAACACTATTCTGGGGAAAAAAATCCAGAACTCTATTTCTCTGTTTTTAACTGCTGTGGTACAGTGTTAACTGCTTGCTTTATGCCGAATAGAGGATAAGGRTGAAAATAGTCTTGGTATTTATATTTTATGCATGTCTGTTGTTTAACTGTGCTTTCTGGTACTGTCTCCATGCTGACAGTCAGCTTTGTGYTTCAGTGCAGAAGAGGCATGATTCAGTGAGATGCTGGAACAGAGACTTTAATTTCATAAGCTCATAATACTGTCTGCTGTTTAGGCAGCTGTCTATATYGTCTATCAATCAATAATGACTTTTTTAATGTGCTAGTGAACTTTACTTACCAAGTAAAGATTACACTTAGGGGCGAATTGGAAAAATGTTCTTTTTGCCTATGACAACAAGCAAAATTATGACAATGTGCTTGAAAGTGCAGCATGGATTTTGGGTAAAGGCTCTTTCAAGCAATTCTAAACATCTGGAGAATAATGACATGCTTTAGCCAGATGTGCTAGGTTTGTATTTATGTGAAAAAGCAACTGGTAGAAACCCTWTAAAAATGCATTTCTAGTTTCACAGAGTTCTAGAATGCTATATATTTTATTCTCAGAAGTGCCCRTGGTCTAGATTATAAGTAATAGCAAATGTGAGGAACCAGGCTGTTTTTGCTGAAGTCCAAGTTTCTTTGCCATGTTTTGCTTAAAAGAACGGTGGGCTCTTGACCTCAACAATGAGTTTTCTGAGGGGGGGCATATGTATATGTGTTTCCATACAATTTGTTAACTTTGGTTGCTTTCAAATGGGATTTAAAAAAAAAAAAAAGTTTCTTAAAAGACACATAATAGCCTAAGGAAATAATTTGGTGGGCTCCGTGTCAAGGATCTTTTGCCTTCTCTTGGCAGGAATGAAAATTTCTCTTGAGGCTGTTTTAGACTGTTTAAACACAGGGAATCCAGGAAGTCTGTGCCTTTCAGGTAATAAGCAGGTACCTCCAGTGTTGAGAACTGAGACACGTGGTCTAGCACTGCCCAACTATCACTTCTTGAGTCCTGGAGTGCTACATCTCTAAAGGCCTTGATGCTCACATTGTCTTTCAAGAGTGTCTGCAARGGACAGAACAGGCATCAGTTTGCCTCACCCTGATTTCTGTGGGAGCTGGAGGTAGTCATTGTGTGCCAGGGGAGCTTCATCGCCTCTGTAAGGCTGTTGATTATAAACAGTGCAACATCCCTCTGGCTTTGGGAGAGACTCAGACATCAGCAGAAAAACAACAAAGGCGTACAGTTGGTGTAAACTTTAAATTGCAAATGAAATTATTCTGACAG